TTTCCCCACATAGTAGATGTCCTGTCCCAGTCAGCTTTTTGCAGGAGTGGCAAAAGGTGCATCTTCCACACAGGTCTGGTCACGTTTCAAGTTGAGAACACGCCAAATCTGGGTATGATGCCATAGACTAATATTTTTTGAGGATTTTTAAAATGTTCATGGTTTCAAAATTTGCTTGAAACATGGATTCTAAATTTGTTCTTCCAGGCAGCTGAGCTCTCTTAGCTGAACACCACTCTCCCCAAAAACCCACTGCCACTCTCAATAAAAACAAATGGGCAACTCCCCAAACAAATGCTTTTTAGTTTTACAGAACTACGTACAATTGAAAACAAGGTCTTATAATCAATACTAGATTGTGAGCAGTTCTGGAGTTTATCATCTCCATTGATGATAAAATCTATGACAAAATTCTAATCTCTACACCTATATATATATTTTAAAAATATGTATGTGTGTGTATTCCTGTCATCATGTGTTTTCACTTCACAGTAGATGTGTAATGGCTCACCTTTCACTCTTTCACTGAAAGGGGAGTAGTGCCATTACTATGGGACAGAATCATGCATGTAAGCAATTACTGTGGATTATCTGATGTAACATAAATTCACTGCCTTTGGGCTTGAAAGTGACATACCCTGACTTCCTACCTTGTATGCCGTTTGCTTGTTTAAAACAAAATAAAACCCAAGCAATGAACAAAACCTTTGTCTGATGAGTCTCATGCTGCTGCTGTTGTAAAGTCCCCTTTGTGCTACAGTAAGCTCTCGCCTGGATATTTTGCACTGCAGAGGAGGGCTTGCACTGGAAAAAAAATGAGCTGTTACAGATGATTATTCTAATGATAGTCACAATACTGAACTTGTACTGGTACTTTGGAACCCAAATGGAGCCTGTCCCCTAAAAGTAATGGTTTTAGTTTCAAAAGTGTACCTAGTATTGTAAACTTCCTGTTGTACATTTAATTGTCAATGGTGTTCCTCCTAGGGATTAGCACTTTAAAAACCAGCTGATACATCTCAATTGGCTTTTAAATATTTTAATTCAGTAACAGTCATCAGAGGGTTGCAAATGACACTGCAGTAGCATTCCTGTGTTTTCTAGAGTGCAATAAAATCTCTAAGGACTTTAGCTTGTATGTCATATTGTTTAAAAAAAAAAAAAGGGCAATGGGTTTTCTTCATCTAAGCAACTTATTTTTAACTCTGACATTCTTGAGCCTATTTTCATTTTTGTTTATGTAAAAGGGAGAGTAGAATATTGCATTCGTCTTAGTGGGATTATGCTGTGCAAAGCAGATGTTAAGCTCCTGTAACACACAAAGGAGGCTTTATGTTCTTTCACATCTGTCTCTGCATAAACAGCTCTGTTAACTCTTCAGGGCTCCTTGCATCTATTAAGAGACTGCCTCAGGAGGACTGATGGGGTTCCTGTTTCGGGGCGGGGGGGAGAACATCAAGACCCCAACTGCCCTCTTTAACTGTGTGAGCTGCCAAGGGAAAGAACATCCCTGTCTGTAGAGGTCCAAAGAGAACACATGGGAAGGTCATCATGTTTTATTGCTTTGCAGCTTATACAAACAGTGCAATAATAAGTCGAAAGCATTTTCTTAAAGCCCATATTGTAAAGCTGCTTGGCATTTCGCCTCTCAGCCAGTTCTTGAGAGGTTCTTTGCGCTAGAGAGGGGTTTGAACTCGTGTGTCTGTGCCAAAAATCCAGTAATGAAACTTCTTCATACCAAATTCATACACATATTTTCTTTTTTGTAGAAACTGAGAAGTATCACTTTGTCAGTAGAAACAGTGCAGTATGCTCTTTTGTACTTTTCCTACTAAAGTACCATCTCTAGCTTAAATTTAAAAGCCCTTTTCAACCATTTAGTTTTCAATGAAGGTTTGTCCCTATTTTGATACTGATTTATCTTGGTACTAGAATGTGGATGCTTAGAAATGTCTTTCACTGAGTGCATGTGAACTACCAGTTACTGTGAGCTGTGTAAGTCACCTTTTAATGAATTGCATCTTAAATGTGGTATCTAAACTGTCTGTGCTGTGGATTTGGTGCAGTATTGTATAATGGCTTTACTAGGGTGGGAAGGCTAGTAAACACTAGCCTTGAACACTTCGAGAATCTCAGCACAGAATGAAACATCACCATCTGCAAAACTTTGTCCTGAATGAGCAGTACAGGCTTGAAAGGGGACATCTGACCACGCTAGTATCTGTAGAAGGGCTTTACTACTGATTTTGGTAGGAATAGGCTTCCATCCTTTCTGGGTTCCAGGCAGTTGGTGCTTAGCTACGCAAAAATTTGCACCAGTTGAATTAAATCAGTTTAGTTTTGCTACAGTGAGCAATTATAGTCACACTGGCATGTTTTTGCCTGGTGCATGTCACCTGCCCGTGACTGACTGATCTATATGTGAATAAAAAAGTCACTCTTGTACTGGAATATGTATCCTAATGAATTTAAATTCACACTCTTCATATGCAGACAAAAGACAAGCTTCCACTAATGAGAGAGAATTGTTTAGCTTCCTTCTTTACGTTATTTACTATTGTGCAGCCCACCACAGCAAACAGCTGATCAGTACTTTATAGCAGAAATGTTGCCATAGACATTTCCCTGTTGCCTTGTCCTGGTGTACTGGCCTGTCCAGCGGGACCTCTGGACCCCACAGCGGTGGGCTGTCAGCTCTGTTTGGTTTCTCGAAAGGTCTGCATTGAACGGGAGCCTCGCTTTGCTGCAGGCAGCTCCTGCTCATCTGGGAAGGAGCTCAGAGCTGTCAGGTAGCATTACTTGGCAGCTAGATTGGATGCGCTCTTGGTTTAATTTATGATTTATCTAGGAATAATCTACTTGTATAATAGTTCAATGCTGTACGTGAGAGCTGAGACTGCCTGGGGCTTGATGGGGGGGTAAAATTGTTCATCTTCGGTCGGTGATGTATTGATGTCTAATGGGATGTGATTGTATACTGGTAAGAAACTGAAGGATAATTTGAAATTTGAAATCAGGTTGATGTTCCATTTAAGCCTCCTTTTGGCATCAAAGCAGCCTTGTAAATTGTTGCCTATTTTAAGGTCAGTAGAAATGTTTCTACATATTTTTAGTTATGTTGAAAATAGTTCTTAGTCTGGATTTAAATGTTTACCTGAAATGTAGGAGAGCAGGGGTTATTGGAGAATAACCCTAATCCACAAAACCCAGAAGGTAAAATGAACTACTGCAGTCTTGCTACTCAAAAGGAACAAAATGTAAATAGTCAAAGGTAATGCCAGAAGATTTTAAAGAGTTCTTTCATGAATCATAGAGGCATTTTTTTTAAATGTCGAATTACAAATTCAATTGCTAAGAAATCTATTGCAGAAAATATCCTGATAATTTGCTGCATAACCTAGTATCAGTGTTCTTGTACACTGCAAAATCTCTGATGTCCTCATAGACTTGTTTCTGTGTGGTACACAATGAAATTCCACTTGTCTGAATCATTTGAGTAAGATTTTTCAGAAAAGTTTTATCCTTCTCAGTTTTAAGTCCACTTACAGTGACCAAATGTTTAAACAGAGGCAAGCTGAATGAATGTGCTCTTTGATAAAAGATAACAAAGCCCGTAACTGAGAAGCTTTGCTGCTCCTTGGGCAAGCATGGCTGATTTAACTTGGTACATGTTTATGAATCCCCAAACTAACTGTACTTATTATACTTGAGTCATTCTAAACAAATAGAACTTTGCATCTCAGGAGCCTGGCATGCATTTCAAGAAGCTGGCACACATTTTCTTTATATGATCACAGGAGTGGCTTGCTTAACCTTTTAATTGGCAGGAAGAAAACTCACTTCATGGCCTGAGCCACAGTCATCTCTGAATAATGTAAACAGTGATGACCTGAACTTGATCTTTTAGACAAGGGATTCGCTTTTCTTGGTAGTTGTATTATACAGACAAGCTAATGCTCTGGGGTCAGCGAGGGGCTTTTGTACATCCAAGCACAATAAAGCTAGAAAGTGTTTCCTGCTGTTTAGCTAATTAATGCAGGGTACCACTCCGCAGGAGTCAGCAGTGGTTTTGCTCCTGTCACTGCTATTGTGCTGCCTGCAGAAGGATATGGAGCGAGGCATGTGGTAAGGAATGAATTCTGTGTCTTGCTCCACCTATTGCAGGGCAGAAAAAAACTTAGGGAAGTCAGTTATCGATTCATTCATGAGAAGGGAAAAGATATGGTACTGGAATGGTCAAAGCATGTTTCTTAGAGTTGTAAATAAATAACAAAAATAAATTGGTAATACTCTGTGTGTTACGTGATGCTGCCAGACCAGAATTATCTGTGTGTGTCCTTAAATTGCCCTCCCTCCTGACACTGGAGGGCACATCTGAAAGGAAAAGATTGACAGCTTTTTCCCTATTAGACTTTTCCCTTAAATCATGTTTTATGATGTACTGTAGAATAAAGAATTTTATTTGAGACTTTAAAAGCACATACAACTTTGTCCCATCTTGTATTTTCTGATGCAAATCTACTGCAAAGCAGCGAGTTCCTATTCAGTAGTTAACATAGGAAAACAGACAAAGACATTTAGAGTCTGCTCTGATCTTGTATTCTGGTCAGGTACAGGCAACTTTGTAAAGAGAAAATTTAGGGTGTTGTAGTGAACAGTGTGTATTGCAAACTTGAGCAGTAAGGGAGCTAAATCATCTTAATTCTTCTTAGAACCTAGCTGGGTACGTGCTGCCGGTGGCTGCCTGCTTTCTCAGCAAGTTTTTAAGTGGATTATTAACTAAATGTAAGGCTGTTTGCAGCATCTTAAGTTTGACAGACATGTGATTGTGCAGGGGGAGGGTAGGGGAAAAGGGTGGTTGCTTTCAGACAAAAGCTTCTCATAAATTAACGTCTTCCAAACAATATCTTGTAGTCTTTTTCCATATTAAAAATAAATAAAACAAACATTATATGGGTTTCATGCCCAGACAATAACTCTTACGTTGTTTTTTTTCCCAGAACTGCTTAATAAAACATGATGAGAATGGATACTCAGCAATAGTGGGAGACTTTGGTTTAGCAGAGAAAATTCCGGATCACAGGTATGTGAATTAATCAAAATACAGCGAGAGTTGCAGTGTGATTGCAGGTCAAGAAGCTCTAATGAGCCACATCCCTGAAGCCATTATTGCATTCTGATACAAAATTTGCAAAAAATATCCTCAGTCTTCAGTCTAGAACTGCATGCTGGATGACCAAAATGTTCCAGCCTTAATTACTGTCCATTTTGATAGATTTAGGGGTGACATTTATTCTTTGAAAATGCTCCAGTGAGCAGGTGATTTACTGAAGCTTTTCAGTAGATCTTCTAAGTAGGTACTGAGGAATTTTTGTTTTAAAAAAAAAAAAACCAAACAAAAAAACCCAAAAAACAACAAAGCAAACACAAAAATACTGTCCAGCATTCTGGATTGGAATGATTTTATAATAAATGTCCTCTGTTGATTCTGAACAACTTTAATTAGCTTAGCTTCTTTCCATTTTCATAAACAATATTCAGTGGCATTCCAGTATTATTCTTTTTAACCTCTGGGTTAGTTGTTAAGATCCAGGTTTATAACAAAGAGAGATTAAAATTACTGACTAACAGTAGCACACCATCTCATTCTCCCTAGGATGAAATTATAATCCTAACTCATTTGAGGAATGCACAGGTGACTGTCACAAGCTATTGTCACAATTGGAAATAGTCCATTTGTCATCCCTCTGTTAAGGAGATCAAGGACAAGGATTTCATTGTTCTCTCTGTATATTCAGTTGTGTATTTCAGAGTCTTCTGACTGTGAAATGTGCTGTCAGATTTTCTCCAGTGTTTGCTTCTGTGTAAAATAAATAAAAGCCTTCCAACTCTTTTGACCGCAAAGAAAACAATAAAAGTTGATCTCAGCTATGCACTGTTTATACACTGCACATATCCTAAAATGGCGTCTTGGGAGACCTGAAGGCTTGCATTATGTTGATGAGAGATTGATCTAAAAGTTTTACAAAATGAACATTTTAATTTCCAAACTACTGATAAGTGCAGCAAATTTGTATCTTGTACGCTCCTGTGGAATTTCTGTCCTTTAAGGTGCTGAAAGCTTCAGCTGTATGCATATGAACCCATCACAAAATAAATCAGGAAGGCACCACAGGTGCCTTAAGGTGTTCCTCATACCCAGTTTTGAGATGGCCTGAAAACTGAGAGTATAATAATAGCGAAAGCTGAGGTAGCTTGATACTAAAACAAACAACATAATCAAATTGTTACATTAACCACCATTTTGGTTTGATCTAGTCTTACCCCCATTTTCAAACAGTTTTATTGTTTCTAGTTTACTGGCTAGCAAGCCATGCTATTTGAGGCTTTTTTTTTTTTTTTTTTTTAAATAGGTATTCATTCCTTCAGGGTCAGCTGTGTGTCAAGCTGGAGGCCTCTCTTAAGGCCCCAGTATTCAGCCATATGGAAACATTGCAAATTTTTCGAATCAGCTCTATTCTCATTACTTTTAATTTTTCCCTATTAAATTTTTCATTATTAAAGGATTCATGTGGTCAACCTTGACTTTTAAAAAAAAAATACAGTTTGCAAACAGACTGTGCTGAATACTTTGGGAGCTGCTTATTGGTATACATGTAGGGGTGGATACCTGCATGTCTGACTGCATGAATGGAGAATCTGACATCTAGCCTGAAACTGATGTCCACAAACCTTTCTATGTATAGATGAAGGAGCCAACTCTGCCAAGAGCTTGGAAACCAAAACTATTGAACAACCGTGACCTTAAAATAGTTTTGAGGGTTTTTTTTTAAGTGGCTAGACACTTAGAAATGAAATAAAATATGAGTAATTGATTGAAGCTTTCTTTCTTTCACCTTCTCCTCCTGCTATTGAATGTTACAGTGACTCCAGTAGAAAACCAGTGTAAAATACAGTATATTATGGAACCCACTTGTATCGACTTCCCTCTGGTGAAAGTTTCTGCATGTATTTGGAGTTACAGAAAGTTGGTAGCAATGCTTGAGCATTTAATTTATGGTTCTCCTCTCTCCCCCCGCTCCCTCCTTTCCCTCCATCTATCCCATATGTATATAGTGAAAAGTTACCAGTGGTGGGCTCACCCTTCTGGATGGCACCAGAAGTTCTCAGAGATGAACCTTACAATGAAAAGGTAGGTACATGATATAAGTGTCAGATGTTTCTCTTCAATAGCTCTATACAAGATTAAGAATTTCCATAATATTAAAGTTATCGTTTATTTGTGACATTTCTGAACTCGGTAGGTCATTCAGACTAAGGGAGAGTGTGAGCTGAATAGCTAATATTTTTAATTCATGGTGTGGATTCTTACCTGGAAATAGAATTACTTTTGCCATAAATCTCTGTTACACTATTTCCATTCTGAAACACCCCACATGCAGAAATATGGTAATGGCTTGTTGACCTAAGACAATTTAATTACCTCATGGTAATTAAGTAAGTCTCATGAGAAATGTAGTGAGGTTATTTCCCTGACCATACGTTAGTGAAATCTGGGCAGAAGTAAAAGGTCTGTGAACTTGTACAATTTTTTAAAATTAAAATAAAGTATCAAAAAATCAACATTTCTCAAGGTAAGATACCTGGATAAAAATGTTCTCCAGAGTTTTCCTATTTCTGACACTGGGAAGCATCCTCCTTCCAGAGGAGGATCAGATCACACTGGATTTTAGAAATAGTCAAGCTCTTCCTTACGCAGGGTTTTCTCTCTCATATGTAACATACTCCAGCCCTGGATAAAGCCCATACCCTGTACCTTTTCATAACTAGTAGTCAATAATCTGTTTAATTGATGGTACTTTTAACTTGCAGGAGAGTGGTAGCTACCTCAGTAATGAATGTAATAATTACCATTTCAAAGCTTTGTTAAGATTTCCAGTTGACCCAAATTAGTAGTAAAGTACTCAAATCTGTGGTGCTACATTTTTCACTATAACCCTAGGGCATGGAGAACTAAAGAGGAAGCAGGTCTCATACCTCATCAGCATAAAAGGTGACATCTAAGGGATGAGGGATGCCAGCTTCTGCTCTGTACACTTGTATTCCATGTTCTCCTAAATTTTATTACATGATAAATTCAAGTGGGTGGAAATCTGAGCAACTGTGCAGCTCCAGGGGTAGTCAGATGAGAGATTACTAAGCGTCATGGAAATGTCAGTGGAAACTGATGCTGGTATATAGTGTTACTAGCTATCTCAAGCTTTGGGAAAGACACATTTCTCCAGAGGTGCTAAACTGTGAGAAGAGAAAAATGTAATTTTTCTTAAAAACAGCTTCAATATTCTGGATAAGCTGTGATTCTAAACCCACTTTCTAACCACAGTGATATATAGGCATGTCATGTTTTGGCTATGTTTTTAATTACTCCCATCTGTAAGACATCAAATGCAACTTTACCATCCTTTATGCAAGGAAGGATTTATTTTTTTTTTACGCTGCTGAATTAAGAGTAGTTTGCTGGGTTTTTTCTTTTTTTCTTGATAGAGTTTTAAAGTTGTTATTGCTATTTGTGCAACAAGAATGCTTTACCATGAGCATGAGTTTCTTTACATGGAAAATGTTAGCTATAATGCAGTTGCTTAGTTGTAAGGCTGTGGTATTGGTTTAGTTGTTTCATGATAACCATTTGGACTAAGGAGAAACTCAGTGGCAGATAAAAGCACTCAGTATTCACAGCTGAACCATGTGTCAATTTATTTTTTTCCTCTCTCAGGCAGATGTGTTTTCCTATGGTATAATTCTGTGTGAAATTATAGCAAGAATACAGGCAGATCCAGACTATCTCCCTCGCACAGAGGTAAGTGGTTACGTTTATAACATTGGTGGGAGGTGGTAGGTATGCCACGATAATGGCTGGCCTTTAGAACTTCCTTCACTGCCACCAAAGATACGATGAATAGGTGTTACATTAAAAATAGCCTGTTAAAGGCTTTTGTTCTTCTGTGCTGTTATTGTAAGAAGCTCCATCGAAGACACTTTCACATAGACTGTCCAGCTGCAATCCTCATGCAATCCTTTCTGCCCCTAACTGGCAGAACATTGAGAGCATTGCAGTGACCTTCCTTTTGTAGAGTGACAGCTCATACAGACTTCTTGCCAGATTCAGAACAGAGCACTTTTGGCACACTGCATCCGCTAAGCAGCTCCTCCTTGTGAAAGGGGCAGGAGCTATGTTAGCAGCAGCTAAAATAAGCTCACCCTTAGCTGTGACACTGTGCTAAGCACTGTGGATCTGAGGTAGAATCAACTAAACTACTTTCTGCAGTTGCCTTTTGGTTGAGTCCCACCTGCAGGGCCAGCTTTTGGCCCTCTATGGAGGGGCTTCCAAACTGTTTATCCCGCTCTGGTCCTCTGGTTCTGAAAATGCAAAACTGCTTAGGTCTTGAACTGCAGTAAATACGCAGAAAAAAAAAATTGTTTCTCTGCCCTTCAGATTGTAGAGAAATGCATTTAAGAAACTGGGTAATTTGTATTACCAGTCTACCATCCACTGAAAAATTAACCATTTTAATTGATAAATTTTCACCATAGCAAAGCTGCTGGTTTTATAGCAGGCTGTTAATTTACACTGTGAAAGTCACCATGGTGAAACATTATAGTATGAGATATTGCTTCCAGATCCACATGGGCAACATTTCAAGTGCAGTGGATTGCAGTTGAGTCCAGGAAGAAGAATGGGCTTTGAAGTCAGTTCATTCTCTTACAGGTATCTTGTATCAAGCAGTCCCCATTGGGAATGCTGCAGTTTGGAGTGTGCATGAAGTTTTCTCAAAATCCTCTATATGTGGCTGCTGAGAGAAGGTGTTCATGGTTATTCCTGATAACTGCATGTAGGGACACCCTGAAAAGAAGATGCATGGGGCTAGATAGTGGACCTAATTTCTATCTTTCTGCTGTGTTTTTGTTTGTACAGAATTTTGGATTAGATTATGATGCCTTCCAGCACATGGTGGGAGACTGTCCCCCTGACTTCCTCCAGCTGGCCTTCAACTGCTGTAATGTGAGTATCTTACTTGAAGGGGAGAGGCCTAAATTGGGGTTCTTTAAATCCCTCTGGCTTTTTAAGATAGAGCTTAAAGCATTTCACAGAATCACCGAATCATTAAGGTTGGAAAAGACCTTTAAGGTCATCAAGTCCAACCATCAACCCAACACCACCATGCCCACTAAACTATTCTGAAGTGCCACGTCTACACATTTTTTGAACACTTCCAGTGATGGTGATTCCACCACCTCCCTGGGCAGCCTGTTCCAATGCTTGACCACTCTCTCCGTAAAGAAATTTTTCCTAATATCCCATCTAAACCTCCCCTGGAAGGGGAGGGAATTTACAGAAGAGACTTGAAGGGCCTACCTGTAAAAGCAGCGTACATTCTGATAACTCAGAAAGTCCCTTGCAGTTTTTATAACCCTTCCCCTTGCAAAAAAGTCTATCTTGTGTTTTTGCAATTCTGTGTCCTATCATGCCAAACAGGTCTGGCATACCTAACAGCTTCTTGCAGGCTGCTTAGGCTGATCATAACCAGTTTTATGCTATTGACACTGGCTGGCCCTCGGGCTGACAAAATCCAGCTGTTATTGTGTACAGACCTACTGAGCTGTGAAGAAAGAATTCTGAGTTGTTCTCACAAACAGAGGGGACAAACAAATCAAGAGCAGGCACTAAACTACTCTAAAGTTTCTACATGCTGCCTTTTGGAAAGCAGGATAAACCTCCAAATCCCTAGTCTGTGTTCCAGAAAAACAAACTTGGACACAAATGATTTAATATCAGGAAGGCTATAGGCAGTGTGCTGTGTGGAGTAAATTTTATGCCAATTATTCAAGTAAAATTGTGATAGTGCTTCATGGCTCCTCGGCATGAAAATTCCAAGGAAGTTGATCTCCCTTGTGGGTATCCCATAACAGAGATTGCTAGTACCTTTGTATAGTAAACTCGTTTATATGAAGTAGGAGAACCTGTGCTTCCACTAAATTCAGCTGAAGTTGGAAATGTCCAGTTTGCACAACTTAAGCTGAGGCAAGTTCTGAAAAATTTATTGCACAAAACTTTGCCTGGGACCTCACAACCAGGCCATGCTGGAGCCAATACCAGCACTGTGTCCAAGTGAGTGTTTGTAAGAAAAGCCTCAGAACAGGCATTTTTTCCCCCTGTCTGTTACTGATCTTTCAGGCTTTGTTTTCATGTCAACACTACTGCTGAAAGAAGCAGTCTCCTCGGTTCACGCTCTTGATACTTATTTTTGCCCTGAGCGCTCTCTTTAATTTGTATTAGTACAAATGCACATACTTGCTCAAGGGGAGAGCAGTATAAAGGTGAGGATGTGAGCAGGTGGGGGTTGACTGCTGCTCTTGACACAAGATAGCGTAAATTAATTCTAAAAATCTCTGTGGAACTTACTCTGGACAAGCTACTTCACTCCCCTAATTTCACCTTAGTAGAGTGGAGCTTGCTCCACCAGGACAGTGGTAAGTCTGACTCATGTTTATGAAGTGTTTTGACTACGTAAGCACTAAAGGATTTGGTTAGAGGTAGGATTTAACTTTGGAAATCTTGGCTCCCACCTGTAGACTTCAGAAATCGTGCTGCATCCAAACATATGGGCATGGTTCAAAGCAACTTTTCAGCACAGGTGAAATTCGCAGTAAAACTGTACTTGTGAAGAAAGGGGAAGTGACTGATCTTATATTCTCATGTAAGAATTTGTTGTGTTCAGAGAAAAAAGGATTTTCCTCTGCTGATTATCATCAAATGCTGCTTCCTGTGTAACAAATGTCCCTTCCCTGAATTGAAAGTGGAAATTGCTGTCTTGTGATCAAGCCATTAATATGCTGATTTCATTGTGGGGCATGCTGTAATTCACTTACCACTTACCTAGCAGAAGGAAGAAGGTGGTGAACAGATAAGGCTTTCTTGTATCATCTTAAGCATGCTGTGCTTCAATAGTAGGTGATTTGTGTGATAATTTGTTCTTAGATATGGACGTTTATATAGCTTTTTATTATTTAATAGGTCAACAAACAGTGTAAACTGTATAGCTCAGCTGATTAGCCGAACTAATGTGCAAACCCCTGGGGTTTTCTACAGCCAGGAAATTGTTTTAGGGCAACCTAAGAAAACCAGTAAAAACTGGTATGTATGAGTAATGGATTAAAATTTCTTTAATTTGCTGTTATAAAGCATTTTTTTAAAAATAAGTATATGCAAGGAATTCCAAAACTTATGGCTTCCCAACAACTATAAGCCTACTTGTGCAAATGCTTATAAACGTAATCGTGTATGATCATGCAAAAAGCTTACCAGGATGAGCTGAGCTGTGGGCAACTGCTGCCTTGAGGAAGAACCTTGCATTTGAAACTTGTATTTGAGTAGGATCTGGACTGCTCAGGCAAATGAGGCAAATGTTGCTCTAAGTCACTTATCCATTGCTGCTCCTGCACTGGATCTTACCTAGCACAAATTAAAATAGCCAGAGAGCTCTTCTTGCTTTCGGTAGCTTGCAACAACTCTCTAAAGCTTCCCAAATTAGTAAGCTTGTTGGAGTACAAACTCGAGTGCTTTGGTGTTGCCCCTGTCCTGCTCTTGCAGTGAAATAGGGAAAGCAGAAAAAGATGTTTTCCTATGCTAGGAAATTCCAGCTGCTGCGTTCGAACAACTTTCTTACTGCTCTTCAGCTCTTCAAGTGTGATATGTCTGGTTTTTATTACTGTATGTAATGAATTTTTAGCCCTTTACCCCATGTTGCTAGAAGTTGTTCTGGCATTGCTGACCATACCAGTTCTCTTCAGAAAGATCCACCTCGTAGGACCTGCAAGGCGGTATCAGGGAGGTTTTTCGGGTTTGTTGTTTACAAAGCACCACTGTTCCCTTTGTACTAGAGGTGAGATCTGTCTGGGCTTGTCTGCTCTTAAACAGCCTTAGAGGGCTGCAAACAGGAATGAGGTCAAGCAGAATCTTTTTTAATAGTGTAAGGAGGTTAACTTTCAGCTGCTGAATTAGACATTGCTACCTACAGTAGTTAAACCTGTAACATATATGCAGGATTAATGTTCAAAATGATGAAGTTCCTTCTGAGTTACTACTTAAATTAAGATGCTTGCCCTCTAGGTGTTAGACTTTGTTTAGAGATCCATTTCAACTAGGGTGAATAAATAAATACATACTAATAAATACAAACTGAATACATACTGATGACTGGGGGTAGTATTTTACTTGGGCAAAGATAAGATGGACTTTCTTTTATTGTATTACTTTGTCAAATTATATAACCAATCTTACTTGCTTTAAAGACAGACCAGTACACCGAGTAGTAAGGCTAATTAACAGATGGCAAGATACAACATTTTGAACTTCAAAATCAGCAATGCCATTGAAGTGGGTTTTAATTAAAGCCATAGGGAGATGATGGAAGAATTACAAACTTTTAAAGAATGACATAGCCAAGTTGCTCTGTTTAATCCTTATTGCTTCAGGCATGTTTTGAAGTAACATTGGTATATAATCTCTGACTGATAACTGGAATCCAAAAAGAAATCCTTGAACTATGAAAGCTGTTTAAAACAAACCAACCAACCCCTCTCTGAAGCCCTGTATTGAACAGCTTCCCACCTTTTCAATTTAACATGTGTCCTCCTCATAGAATGTTTACAACCTGATAATTAAATGTGAGAGCTATAATTGCCATAAACTGGGACAGAATACTACTTTTCCCCTGCTTTACTTAGTTTTTCTGCAGTGACAACACACTTAAAACAGTCTTGAATTTCCTCAGTTCCTTCAGATTGTCCCTCTCTCTATTGTGTAAGTAGAATAGTGTGGACAAACACATATGAACTTACTTGATTTGTGTGCGTTCACAGATGGATCCAAAGTTGCGTCCTTCATTTGCTGATATTGTCAAAACACTGGAGGAGACTTTAAACCGCCTAAGAAATGAGGACTCGGAGAGAGAGAGAAAGTTTTTGAACCTTGACAGCAGTGAAAGAAAACCCAAAGGTAAGTGCCTGTTTTGTACAAAAATTGCTGCAGGCTAACAGCAAGAGTGTACAGTGCTTCATAGTTTGAAGACTTGAGATTTCAGCTATATATGGTGGTATTTACAGTTTATGAATGATTTTACTCAAAGCCTGAAAATTTTTCTGGATCAATGCTACATACTTTGCACTGCACAGCGTCCTTTGGGAAAGAACAGCTAGCTGTTTTCTTAAAGTGCCTCAAAAGATTCTGCCTACAAGCTCTTGAGGGGAAATTTGGATTTCATTTGGGAATGGTTTTGTAAGTTGCTAATAGGATATGAAAATCCATGAACTTTGGCTTTGTCCCTACCATTCTTAGTGCATATACATGATTTCTGTGGTGTATTTTACATGTTACACTTAGAAGCTTCTTAAGTTCCTTCAGGATGAAGAGCAGAGAAGATGCAAGAGTATTATAAAGTACCTAGAATACTCTGACAGACTGGGGAAAAGGTGAATCCCAGATCTGCTTGGGAATGCTAGTCTTGAAGGGCTTTCTCTAAAGCTGTCGAGTGCCACCTGGTGTGGGGAGCAAACTGCAACCAGTTCTTGTAGGCTGGGGCATATTCTGATTTAGGTATCTTTTATGTTAGTAGACTTCTGGCATTGGAAACTTATGAGTACAGTAAAAATAGTTTCTTGTATTGTGTATATATAAATACACAGTATATATACATATATGTCTATCTGTAATACGGTTATAGATTGAAATAAGTTCTGTATTGCACATGGAGTGCATACATGTGGTAGTTCTCCCATACCTGGAAAGCATCTAAAAGAGGTGCCAGTTAAAAAGAAAATTTTTTTGTTTGTTTGGATTTTTTTGTTTTTGGAGGTTTTGTTTTATTTCTTTTTAGTTTGGTTGGTAGGGCTTTTTGTTTTTGGTGTTTTGTTTTTTGTTGGGGGTTTTTTTTTCTCATTTTCCTGGCATTCTCCCTTTGGAGTACGTGTCAGATTTGCATTTTCTTGGAGAAGTGTTACATGCTGTTCTTTGACTTGCGTAGTTTTTCCTAAGTGGAGTGACTACAGTCTAAACTGTGGTGGTATCAAAAAGGAAAAGTGGAAATCCGTATGTGTTTATTCTGGAAATGGTAATCAAAAGAAGGCACCACTTCTTTATATCTGTTTGTTATTACTGTACCACAGGTCTTCAGAGGCACCTTGAGAACCAGTGGCAGATGCATGTTCCAAAACTCAAGGAGTTAGCATCTTTTCCTAAAGCTACTACAGTTTTCCCATCCTGTTCTAGTGATACAGCTTTTATTTATTTTATTTTATGTATGTGTGAGTGTGTGCACACGCAAATAAATACACGCGCATATGTACAACTTAACTCCTATTCATTAGAGTCAAACTCTCATATATCCCTAGTTTCTGTACTGGATAATGTACTGAATGAAGGCGGGGATGGAATGATTTCAACTCTCTATATATCATGAAGAGCATTTATTTTGGCCTTAGAATTCCTTTGGTATGTTTTGTACTTGCTATCTTTTATGGTCAGTATCATCAACAGATCTTGGGCAACCTCTGCTGGAAGCCAGATAAATCTAGAAATGTGCAAATTGTTTTCTCGAAGACCACCCTGTGCTGCCTCTGCTGTGTCAGTGTACTGGCAGCAAGGAGGTTTGAAGTGACCCTAAAATACAGGGCTTGGATAGAAGAGAGAGGGAAAGACTTCTTCATTCCTACCGAATTTTTGTACAGTTTCCTTTCCTGTGTTTTTTCTGAAGACAATGTTGTCTTGCCAAATTAGCATCCCCCATAATGTGGGTGGCAAATTTGATCACAGAATGATAAAAAAAGCAGTCCAGTTTCACTGCCTAGGGAAGTAAGATGGCATTAACTGAATTTGCATTTCCTCAAGTTTTCAAGATGACTTTTAATTAGCCTGAGGCTTCAGTAAAGAGAAGAGAATATTTTAAATGTAGTTTTGACTGCCTTACATTTAAAAGGTCCTGTGGACAGGGCTGCCAAATCTCCACATTTGAAACCAATAATACATTGAGGAGAAGGGAATGGTGTCCTTGTGTTTGTGCAGGAACTTGTAAGGAATGAGCAAATGTGTGCTTACGGAGGATACTTTGGAACATTAGAAATGTAGCTTTTTCTTTACAGTTGTCATGAAGGCTCTGTGAGTGAGCAGACATGCAGGCATATAGCTTGTTTAAGCTAACAGTTTTTCTTTTCTTCTTCTCAGGGTCAATTGAAAAAGGACCAGGAGTAAAACGTTTGAGTTCCCTGGATGATAAGATCCCACCCAAGTCACCCCGTCCACGTCGGAATATCTGGTTGTCACGCAGCCAGTCGGATATCTTCTCCCGCAAGCCTTCCAGAAAGATAAATGTGCAGGACCCCTACTATACGCCAAACAAAGGGCTAGGCCGGAAAGTTAATCCCTTTAGTGCCCGGGAGGACCTCAAGGGCGGGAAGATCAAATTCTTTGACATGCCAAGCAAGTCAGTGATCTCCCTTGTGTTTGATTTGCATTCTCCAGAGGCAGGTGGAGGCCTGAAAGCTGGCCAGTCCCAGTTCCGGCAGGCGTATAGCACAGACTGGCAAGAATTTTCCCTTCATCCTGCGAGGAGATGCAGATCACTTCCGCTTTCTCCTGAATTGCCACATAAGGAATATGGCCTGTTTGGGGGACTGTCTTCAACTGTCAGCAGGTGTGACCCCACCCAGCTAAGCGCAGAGGTTCGGCAAAAGCTCCTGAGTAGCAGTAAATATGGTGTATCAGAGATTCCTCCCTTTCAAGCCAAGCCTCACAGGCCAGAATTTCTTCCTGTACCAGGACAAGAAGAAGATATGGACTGTTCAGATGGGCCAGTGTCCCAGGAGGAAAATGGGGTTTGCCCTGTTGAGAACACATGTGGAGATCCAGCATGTAATCAACCATTAGTGCTGGCCCAGCCTGAGCTGCTATCTTACAAAAAACTCTCCATTGAGAATTCAGTGAACTCTGAGGGACATGGCTCCTCACAAGTGTTTGCGGGTTGTCTCCCTTCTGAAGAGATGGAGGTGGAAGATGACCTACTGAAAAATACTCCACTAGAGTCTACAAAGCCTCTGTTCAGTGTTAGTCCTTCCACTGAGATGAAGAGAGAGGCATGGCCCTTCAGGGAGCAGGATGGGGACAGTCCTGCCCTGTTGTCTCAGACCGCCTCCAACATCTCAGCAAGTGGCAGCACACAGTCAACTTGTGACATATGAAGAGAGGGCTCAAATTGAACGTGTCCTTGAGGGAACGGTTGTTCCCAGTCGCTTAAACTGTGTTTATAGTTCTGGGCTTCACATTTGAAAGAGACATGGCAGATGGTAGAAACTGGCTGTCAAACAGGTAGCTGCAGACAGCATCTGAAGAGACTGATTATTTTAACTTTATTTCAAACTGTGCTTATTCCTTTCCCTGATTTGCATTAGGAGGGTGAACTACTCCAGCCAGAATGGCCACGTAGGCCCCACAGTCCTTCCAAGAGGCAGCAGCCAGAGCAGGCACCGTGTAAACAGTTTGACCTGGATTCCAGCTTGGAGCATCTCAAGGCCTTAAGCTCCATGTTGGGTAGAAAGAGTGACGCTTAGGTTTTCCCGCTTCCTCTGACTGACCAGCTGCTCTAAACTACTGCAGATTTTGCATTAACATTCTGCAGCAGTGCACGTGAGTCGGAGCCTCTGTTTTAGAAAGAGGCACAGAGATCTTTCAGAGCTATGTTGAGCAGATAGGAATGCTCTCTGGTCCCAGAGCTGCTGTGAATGCTGTTGCAGCATTAAACAAGCTCTTCCTTCAAAACCAGCAAAACCAAAACCTGGCATGCTGGTCACAATCTGCAGGCTGAGTCACATGACAAATACTTTGCAATTAACAAGAAGAATCTGTTCCCTGGTGTTTCATTTTCCCTTGGGATTTGGTAATGATGTGTAATACATTAGTGCAGGGAAGCGGCATGTGGTAAGCACCGCTCTACTCCTTGCACAGCTTTTCATGTACCTCCACCCCAGTGTGGAGGAAGATTTGCCCAGGGCACAAGAAGAGAGCCATATGCCAGGCATTGTAATTTCTGGGCTTCTGGGGAAACTTCCAGTGAAAGTACCAGTTCTACTGAGCTTTTGCGGGGTGTGGGGCACTTACCTCTGAAGAGCTGAATGGACATCATGATCTGTTTCTGCAGAATAGTTAAATACAGTATCTACATCACAGTTGACTATTACCACTAAGCTAGAAGGGTCACATTCATCTCCCTCTCTGGTATGACATCCCATCTCATTGACATCACTGCAGTAATGATGGCTCCTTATTTAAAACCAGACTGCTTGATAGAGGACAGGAATCCCCTGCTCAGGGGAAGTTGCCAGCAGTGTTGCAGCCACACAAGTGCTCTTGGAGAGGATAGACAGTAGACTCACAGAAGGGCTTTGAATTGTCAAAGTGAAGAAAATTAGCTTCTCCCAAATCAACTTTTTTTCTTCTACAGAAAGAAGCTGTTGGTTTCTCCTGTCACTGAATAGGATGATCTTTTTTTCTTTTTTTTTTTCCTTCCCTCTGCCAGTAGGTACAGGTGAAAAAAGCAGCTGCATAAGCTTTAGTACTGCTTGCAGAAATCAGCAACAAGAGACCCCCACTCTGGGATGTGATGTACAGGAAAGCTTGTTCTGTGATGTCCTGTGCTTTTTCTGATGAACATCCTGCGCTTTTCCACTATCATTGTCCCAACAACATAGGATTTTTAAAATTTTTTTTTGAAACCTATATTATCATTCCTAACTGAGATATTCATTGTATGCCTGCTGAGCAGATGGTGATGCAGTGGAGACCAGAATTTCACCCAGGTAGCCTGTTACCCTCTCTTCCTGCTGTCTTGTAAGGATGGCAAAGGTAAGCTACTCTGATGGAAGCAAGACTATTCCTATTCTTTTCCTATCTCAAAGAAAGGATGAAGGAGGATTTTTTCTTTCTTGGATGAGATGCTTATCTTTCCAGAGGTGTAGGTAACTATTTTGTGAGTTATGACTTCCTCGTGTGAAATATGTGTTAACCTGAGCAGCTGTTATGCCTTTGCAGTGGCTGCAAAGAATTAAATGTGAAACCCAGTGTCGCTGAGGTACTTAGCACAGGCCATGCCAGATTAGGCAGCTGTTAGCAGTTTGAAAGAGAAAGGGCCTGTTCTTACCAAGATCACCCCTTTTGACCCACACCTCTCTGCCTCTTGAAGGTGCCGATCTGTAGAGTAGTGTCCTGGGAATCCCGTCTGCAGAGTGCAGAGCAGCTTGTATGGCTGGCACTGTGTGTGTGCAATTTCCTTGGAGGATAGGGAAACAGTCAGCAGAACTCAATTGCCAGCTAGTTGCTTGCCTGGTGCCTGCTTTTTTTTTTTTTTTGCCCCACCTTTTTTTTTTTCCTCTCTTTTTGTCTTTTATAGAACTGTAATCTTTCAGGAGGGAAACCATCAGCACCAGCTTCTGTTGTCACAAGATGCATTTAGGTGTGTGACTTCAGAAAAACAAGCAATAATAAGAAATAGTTTACTTCTGGATCACCAGACTGCAAAGCTGTCCGGCATGCTACAACTGCCTGCAGCCTCATCAGAGAGCACACGCATGCCTCTGGCTGCTCTGTGGCTTGCATTAGCCCTGGTTGTCAGCGCTGACACCTATCACGAAGCCTGTTGCCCTCTCTTGACACTGACTGCAAAGCCTGTGCAGTCAGGCTTGGGGTACCTGTGGCACCATTACAGTGACCTCATCCATTTTCTTACACCACTGTCTTTTAAAATGTTTCCCTGCTCTGAACAGCTCTCTTACAAAGCAGCGTGGCTAAAATTTCATTTTCGTCAATGTCCACTCTAAGCACAGCCAGCTGACATGCATAGGGCACATCTATCAAGTTTTCTAGTTCTTTGTCCTGAGGTGGAGATGTCAGAAAGAGAAATGCCAAGGAATTGCAGCTCAGGCCTTTCCTGGATTTGTGGTCTGCATGGGAAAAGAGGCATGCGTATGAAACTGGAGTAAAAGGCCATTTTAAAATAGCTTAAGTGCTTGCTAAAACCTGGTGTTTCCAAGGGTCTGGATGCAGCTGGCACTCACTCAGTCTCATCCTTTTGGTTGTGTTAAGCCGGATCTAGGTTGCACCTAGTAAATGCTCCTAGGTTTTCTGCCTACCTGAGGGTGCTTTTCTACTGGGGGCCATTTTCTGACAGCTACTGTTGAACATGAATACGAACACGTGGTTCGTATCATTTATAGTGATGTGACAAAGTTTTATTGTGATTGGATTTTATCATGATTTTTGACTTTCTTACAGGAGCAGTTCTTGCTCTTTTAAAACACTTTCTACACACTGCTAGGTTCCCTGAAGAGATCAAAGACGTTTTTAATTCACTTTATATCTTTCTATGTGGAATTCATTTAAATGTCTGTTATAAGCTATTGTTGTGGTTGCAGGTTGATAAAATGCAGCTAAGCGAATGCATGTGAATTGCTGCCCCTCAAAAGCAGTGCAGACAAGGGGCTATAGTAGAATTGTACTTGTTGGAGAAGCATCGATGTATTACGTGTAACAGAACATTGGTATTTTTTGCCAGTACAACTAAAGACACTTGAATAATTCCTGTTTGCACTTAATGCTATTGTTTATATTGCATGTCACTACATTTCTATGCAAAACAAGTAACCTTTTTTTTGGGAGGAGGGGCAGCCAGATATTTGATTAAGTATAAAGATCTTTGCAAGATGATCTATTTTCGTATTTATGAAGGAGTTTTACGTCTTAATATTTTGCAGTCTGTAAATAGCTCAACTTGTAATTAAAGGCTTAGGAAGAAGTTTGTAGCCTGTGTATAATAGTAAGTTAACACTGCCAGAAAAAGAATCTTTGCAAAACAACTTTTCTAATATTGTGGATATTTATGAATATGTAAAGAAAGCGCATCTTGTTTTTATGTTGATTGATCTTCTGACTTTTTTGAACTATAGAAATGGTGTATGTTTTATTGGAACTGCAATAAGAAGTAACCAAAGATGAATCCACTTAAATATTTTCATAATTTTTTCTTGGTCAGGTTTTGTAAACTTTCCCAACTTGCTTTCAAAATAAAAATAAAATCAAGGCCTGAGTCTTGTGATTGAGGGCAACTCTAGGTTAAAAAAGCTGGCTCAAATGCTTTCTTAAGCTATGGATGACATTAATACCTGGCTTGAGATTGTATTCACTATTACTCAGTGCTGAATTATAAAGAGGGAGAATGTCATCCTAATTCAGTGTTACTTCTCTCTTGAATCTTACTGAAGTGTTACGCTATTAAATCCATGAGACTCAAGGACTTTTTTTTTTTTCTGCTCTGCCTTATAGTGCTCTGAAGACTAGGCAGTAGCTTGTGACCTACGAGACGAGCTGCAGGAAGCTTGCCATTGTGGCTGCTTTCTTCTAGCCCTACAGCATAGCTTCAGTAGCACAGGAAGCAGTGGAGTTTGAAGACCACATCTGGCTTTAAGTCCCACTCCATCTCCCCTTACTTAGGAGAAGTTTGAAGACCTGCTGTGGCTTGGTTCTGCATGCAGTTACCCTGCACTAGAATCAGCTGGCCCATTTGGGGGGAAGCTTTCTCCTGCCACTCTCTCCTATTGGAGCAAAGGTCTCATCTGTGTATGCTGTAACTAAGATTAAGGTAAAGTACAACTATGAAGTGGGATAGCTCTCCCAGCTGCATGTTCCAAACCAACCATGATCAGTGTCTCTTTAAAAAAAAAAAAAACACACCACTTTTTTCCTTCCTGACTTCCTTAGAAAGACAGGAAATAACTGTGACAGTTATAGAGAGTGACCCTACCAGCAGTGACTGAAAGCAGCACCACCTGACTAAACATTCATAAAAATGTATGCTTCGCCTGAAGAGCTAGCCTGCTTTCATTTGGTGTCTGGCAGAAGCATTGCATCTTCCTCCAGTGACTATTTACAGCATTTCCTATCAAGCTGGTTGTATGGGTCAAGAGCTTGGGGCTTTCAGATCTGTTTTTGTAGGAGGACTTTGACCTTCAGCACATGCTCCTTTTGGAAAGGTCTATCCCACCCTAAGCCACTAGGTTGAGCGGCAGTGCGTAGTACGGCTGTAGGTGCAGTAAGGATAAAGGCACAATCTGGGGCTCTAACATGCTAAGAAGTTTAAGTGGGAAGCTCTGGCCCCTGGCTCTTCTTGTTATCACGCAATTATCCTCTTCAT